ACTGCTCCACTGCATCACCTATTGGCCACAATATTAGCAAACTGTCGCTGATTCATCATCAGGCATTTTTCGTTTTGACTACGTGGCCAGTCTACTACGAACTAATGGACCGTGACGGCAACGCCAAGACGCTGTTCGCATACTACACCAAGAGCTGTTTTTGTTTTTTTAAGGCGACTACGACGACGCAGCACACGTACGTAGGCCTATGGAGGGGAGTTAGTCGACCATGGTTTTATTACCAGAGAACAATGTTCCCTTGTTTAATATTTGAAAAAGGAAATGTGAAAAAAAATTTAGTTAAATACTGTATACAAAATAAAAAGTTTCCAGAAAACACTGAGTGATGTTTCGCTGTTGGCTAGGATCTACCTAGGCTAGGCCTAACCTAGCCTAGGTAATGCAACAATGATGTACAAATAAATGACAATTTTAAAACAGAGGTATTTATATAGCAAGGCTTGATCCACGATATCAAGGGCGGATGCCCCAGCTAGCGGCACAAGATAATGTGTTTTCTCTTACCCGAAATCCACCCTGACTAGGCTAGGCTAGACTAGGCCTAAGGCCCTTTTTTCACTAGATCCCCTGATTTACCTAATTTTATGTTGTGACTATTCATTCCTCATTTATTGCATGTGTATAAATAGGCCTTCATAAAAAATTTTATTACTCACTTGTTTTAATAATTTTTTTATTATTAAACGAACAATACTCGATCGCGGATGCGATGAAAATTGCAACCCCCAACAAAAAAAGTTACCAGCAGTTTGCCAAACAATCCGATGATCTGATTGGTCAATATTAGGTAGTCGCCACTACGCCAAATTCAGAAATTGGGGTTGTCGCGAAAGCTGTCACAACATCGATTTAGCCAGCAAGGTTTGTGAGCATGCGCAGATGTCTGTTACGCTCTATTAGTTCGTAGTAGACTGGCCGCGTAGTCAAAACGAAAAATGCCTACTAATATCAGAGTACAGTACCCAGTGCATCACTGACTTTGTAATGCAACAGAAACACCCTGAATATCACTTCAGTATATCACTGACATCAGACAGATGCTACTGGACACCACAACCTAATTGTCAACAAAAGTAGTCTAAGTTTTATGATTTAATGCTGAGGTTTAGAGTACTGTATATGAGATTATTATGGTTATACATAGAATAGTTTGATTCATTCTAAGGTTGATAGAGGTCGAGATGCATTTCGTTGATATGTTAATTTATGAGAAATTAATAATCATACTTTGATGTTTAATTGAAGTTATACTGCTATGAATTAAATATCTATTGAGATTAGATTTGATATACTTCAAACCATGAGATGTATACTAGGTGATGTAACCGGGAATTGGGTTAAGAGGGTATACATTGGCTTGTAGGAAATTATCATTAAGAATTTATCAGAGTGGTTTATGTTCAATTTTTTTTATGCGACATTGGATTGAGGATTGTTTAACATCTTCATGTATAATTATTATTGTTATTTATAATTGTTTAACCTATTTTTTTAGTGTTAGTATTCACACTATATTTCTCTGATTGTTATTTCAGGGGTCATATGAATAACTGTTGTTCCTCAAAAAAACGTTTAAAACACGTATGCAGTGCTGTCTCAGCTCACTCCTTTGACATCTTGTCACTGGAATCAAATAATAC